ATATGCCAAAAAGGATCCAGAAGCTGAATCACACAAACTTTCTGCTATTTTGCTAGCTAAAATATTTCAAGAGAATATTGATTAATGTTACTAGACATCATGTTCTGTTGGTAATAAGTTATGTAATGCCATGTAATCGACTTATGCTTGAAAAATCAATAATTGACTCTAGATGCACTGGAAAATTTATCATGGTTCTTTATGGCTGAATGATTCTTTTAGAGAATATTTGACTGAGTGATTGCAGGGTAGATGAATGCTTCGTATACTTTATTATGGTGTTAAACAATTAGTGCTTTCCTGATTCTATGACATTTTATGTATGAACTTTCTCCTTGGCACTAACACCATATAGTTGCAGATTTCTCAACAAGGAGCATTTAATGGATTTGGATTAATGTCGAGTTCCTCCCCTGGAGGTTACCCTCCTGGTGGCCCTTATCAGAGCTCATATTTTGGGAGTAATGACCGGTTGCGACCTGCTCTTGACAAGGGCAGAAGACGAGAGAGGGACCAGGATTCAAATAGCGTTTCTAATGATTCACATGGTATTGATCGCAATCGAGGACCAAGGGCTTCAAAAGTGAAGGGAAAGGGTACCTCTGAACAGAGCTCTTCATCTAGTAATAGCAAAAACAACGTAACAGGCTTACAAATTAATCTTGAGCTATACAACCGGCCAGACTTTGTCACTGAATATGAGAATGCCAAGTTCTTCGTCATCAAGTCCTTTAGTGAGGACAATGTTCACAAAAGTATCAAGTACAATGTTTGGGCCAGCACACCTCATGGAAATAAAAAATTAGATGCAGCTTATCATGAAGCAAACAATACAAGTGGCAGCTTTCCAGTCTTCCTTCTGTTTTCGGTACGTGAGTTTGACCTAAGATGACTAATATACCAAATATATTGGAGCAACTTAGGTAATTGGTGGCTGAAGCAAATATAGATTGAGTAAAAGAAGCAGTACCATATTAAAAAAGTACTAAAAATAAGGGATTATTGATGATGGTATATGATAGACATTTCTGGTGATTGCTAGTTCCGTTGAGCGGTCATAGCTTTTAACATTTTATTCAATGTTATTTGCCATAATAGAAGTCAGTGGTATAAACAGGTGTCATTTATGTTGAAGTGTCTTCATTGTTTTCTGCTTAAGCGAGCTATTTTAAATTTCTTTTTCTATTCATTAAGCTTAAGATATCCTCTTACTTAAAGAGTTTGCCAATGCTTGTTGAGGAAAAAGGATGTTGACTCATATCCTGTATTTGTTCCTCATAACATTAGTACTTATCTTGTCTGTGGCTGCCCCTTCCTTAAATGCTGCTGTTGTTCTCTGGTGATAATTAGTTCCTTTTTTTTTTGCTTAACATGGTTTAGTATGACTCTGCCAAGGGTATATTTCAAAGTTTTCTGTATTACTTATATTTTTGGTTAATATTAAACATGATTGTTTGATACTTAATTTCCTGGGAATTTTTCCTGCTGCTGTTGGTTTACTTTTCCTTGCTGAAACATCATTAATAACTATGTAAACACCGAGTGTAAGCAGGGTATTTCACCTCATATTTTTAGAATCATTAGGTTTCCCATGGAAACCTTTTTTCCTGCCAATTTTTCTAAACTGAATTTTGCTCGGGTGGGAATTGCATCTGTTTAGCCTATTAGTAGTCCTGAATTGTATAACTATAACTTTGTGTAGGTGAATGCCAGTGGACAGTTCTGCGGGGTGGCTGAGATGGTAGGACCTGTAGATTTTGAGAAAGATGCTGATTACTGGCAGCAAGATAGGTGGAGTGGGCAATTTCCAGTCAAATGGCATATCATCAAAGATGTTCCTAACAACCGATTTCGTCACCTTTTACTTGAAAACAATGATAATAAGCCTGTGACTCACAGTCGAGATTCGCAGGAGGTAGCTGTTTATTAAGTATATATTTATTTATTTTCTCACACCTTTTCTTTTACAAGTTATTTCTGCATATTGTCAATTGTTCAGAATCTAGTATCATTTTCAAGCATTCTCGATAACTTGTTTATGGCAAAAGTTTCTAGTTCTAAGGTTGTGGTTAAAAATTTATGATCATTTATAATCTCAGACTTCATATATTGATTTATTTTAGACCCTAGTATGCAGTATAACTTAAGTATTGGAGAATTTTTTTGTTTAGATTGATTAATGTCTGTTTGATGCTACAAGAATCTGATGACCAGTTAGCTTTGGCTATATAAGAAGCTCTCTAGGATATATATAATTTAACTTAAATGCTTGCCTTGATGTTTCCTCAATTCATTTTAATTGAGCCAATGGTTAAAATCAAAAGTCAATAATTTACATTTAATGTTGACAACTCATCAACTTTAAACCATTGGATTAGGTAGATAAATTGGTGAATTTTTTAAGTTTTAGATAGATCTATTAGAGGAGAAAGAAAAGGTGCTGTCTACTTTTTCTTGATTTACCAAAATGTATTGTTTAATCTGACCTCTGGTAACTCATAGCTGAATCTTTTTCTAGCTTTGACTTTGGTTTTTTGCTAGACTTTGTCCTCTAGCCCAGACCCTTTTTATTCTCTTGAAATTTAGAACTGGCATTAAACCTCTGTCCCAATATGCTATTCTCTACAAAAGATGCACCTATTCGTTATTGATCTTTTTTTTTTTTTTCTTTTTCTTTCACACCTTCCTCTGATGGCCTATTAAGCTCTGACTGTTACTAATTTTGAGGATACATATACCTAACATTCTTTTTGGATGCTGATGTATATTCAGGTGAAATGAAAACATGGTATTGATGCATATATTCGTTGGTATCTATATGTTGTTTTTTCCCCACTTTCCTGTGATTACATGTTAAGTTCTGGCTCTTATTAATTTTAAGGTTCAATGTACCTAACATTCTTTTTTGATGCTGATATATATAATCAGGTGAAATTAGAACAGGGTATTGAGATGTTGAAAATTTTCAAGGAGCATGATGCGCGTACATGTATACTAGATGATTTTGACTTTTATGATGAGCGGGAGAGGACTTTGAAGGAAAGGAGGGCTAGACAACAACCTCCCTTGACAAAAGATATTCCAGACTCAGTTGCTGAAAATTCTGTAAAGCAGATTTCAGATAGTTTTGATCAGGCCCTCCAGTTGGAAGACATCCCTAAGGAATCACTAAATCATGCAGGTGTTATCTCAAGAACAGATGTTTCAGTTTTGCTAGCTAGTGATCCCTTAAACCAAACTTCTGATAGCTTCTCTGTAGCCATACAGTCAGAAAATAGTAACAAAGAAAGATCTGCAGCTGAAACAGGTGGTGAGCATCAGAATTGAGCCCATTGATAACACTGAAATTATGTTGACGCTAGGAGCAGTTATTTATAGTTGTTACAGGCATCCATCTTTGGCATACTTGCTGTAACCCAACAAACTCCTAGTTCTGTTGGTGATTCTATAATTTTTTTGTTTACTGACAACATTGAGGAGGTATATCGGGCATTTGAGGAGTCAAGCTACAATCTGACAGTGATTTTTTTCTTTTGTTTTTGTTATTTTTGGTCAATTGTTCATTGCAGTTGAAAATTGATCGAGGTCAGCTCAGGCAGGAAGAGAGTCTGATATCTGACCTTGTGCATTATTGTTTGAATATGATCTAGGTTGAAGATGGTGTTGAGCAATGTCAAGTAGTCGGATGAATCCGTGTGGGAGTTGCTTGTGTATACTATATGCCTGATGCCTTATTGGATGTAATCTTTAGAGTTTTATTTTTCCAGTTTTCTGAGGGCTTTTGGTTAATGCAAGGATTTGTAAACTTACCCAATTTTGGGAGGAAAAGAAATAAAGAAATACAACAAAATGCATTGTTACAGAAATGCAATTGCAGTGTTTTATGTTACATGTACAAGATGCTTGCTTGTGTAAATGATACACTTTTGCATTGAGATAAACTTTCATCTACCACTGCAAACTCACATGATCATCGACACTGTTTTCATGCATGCATTACCTTACAGGTCGTCTCTCTGGCGGTGAAGACGCTATGAAATATGATGTGGCAGATTTCGGGACTGACGTGGTGTCTGGCATGGAGCAAGGGACAGTGGAGACTAGGAGTTTTGACCAAGTACCCACCAAGAAGTCAATTCATGGTTATTGTATTGATTCTCGTCATCATTTTCATTCATAAACCCAAGATTTCAGGTGCATGTCCTGCTACAGCTTAAATAGGGATGACAGAAATCTGTTCCAAGTTTTCGGAAAATGCTATGCTCCAAATACGAAAGTGGGGAATTTCAAAAAGACTAAAGAGACTCTTGGGTCCGAGAATATGAATGAATTTGACAGTGAAAACGGTTTTCTATGCTTAAGAAACTACCTTCATTAGGGCTGTTCAAAATCCGAACTGCTTAAACCAACTAATCCAATCCAAATTGATCTAATTTTGATCAGCTTCGATGATTTGATTGCATCTCAATTTTTACAATCCAACTGGATTGAATTGGTTATTAGATTTCCTAAGTAAATCCAATACAAAACTAATCCAATCAAATTATTGCCTTTTAGCTTACAAATTTTAGTCTATTTTATTATTTGTTATTATGTAACAATGAATTTTTTAGTTTTACTGCTTGATAGATTTCTTTTTATTGGGTTTGTTTGCTTTTGTTATATTATTTTTATAATGGATTGTTAATTTTTTTTTTTTTTTGTATGACCCGGTAGTTTATGCATACCTCAATTAAATATTTTGGAACTCTAAAACTACCGATCGGATAAAAACTTTAGTGAAGACTACTAACTTATGTCTTCTTATAACATAATTATTTGTTTAAAATTTTTGGTTTGATATTTCCCTATGTTTAAATAATATAATAGTTGTTTAATGTCCAAATTATATAATAAATTAAAGGGAGAAGATATATTTTTCCACTTACGGTTTGACGAAATAACACGTAGAGTTTCGTAACGACATTTTCTCACTCAAAATTACCTTCCATTAGAAAAAATCCGTTATGAGAAAGGGCAAGATGGTCAACTTATCTGAAGCGCAAAAATCAAAATTCAAAAATTGAAATCTCGATCGGTGTAACTTCGCCTGAATGGTTGCCAGGTTTTCCACTAAATTGACTTAAAAGGAAAAAAAAAGGGGAGAACTAAAAGACATTTGCCTTTCTCTGTAATTGAAGCTTTAAACAGTTAGGGTTGGCGACTAGCGACTGGGGCCGTGGATGATGACGAGTGGGGTCCGAAAAGACGAAAAAGGTGGCGCTGTGGCCGTGGTAGAGGAGGAGAAGTCCAAAGAATTGACACAAATTGATAACTAGAAGGAAGACATTAGTAGATTCGTTCTATGAGACTGATCGTGGGTTGACGACAACTAGCGAAACGAGAGCGGAAATTGTTGAGCTTATTACACAGCTTGGAGCTAAGAATCCGACTCCTGCACTGAGTGAGGCGTTAACCTTGCTTAATGGCAAATGGATTCTTGCGTAAGTGTTTGTTTTGCTTTTTGGTTCGTGGGAAAATTATGGTGAAGGGATTGAATTTGGGAGTTTTTAAAATTGGGTATTTTTGTGGGTTGTTAGTACTTGAGCTAAGTTGAAATTTTGGTTAATTTAGGATGATATAATCACATAGCTTGTTTTGGTTGAATTCTACTGCTTTGGAAATGAAAATATGAAGTTATTCTGAATGAAATTTTAATCCTTTTTGATAATTTCTTTGTTTATTGCTCAAAGGCATATTTATCGCTAGAAAATTAGTGATTTTATCAATAATATATTTGGAGGGTTAGAGACTCTCAAGAACTTGGAGTTGTAAAATTGAGATAAAAACTTTGGATATTCCACTGGTGATCTTATATTCTATCACGAATATGCTTTGCAACTTTAAAAATTGTTATGTTATTAATTGTAATCAACACCAAAGTCCAAAATTGATATTTCTAAATTGTGACGCTGCTTTTATGTAATCAATTCTACTTTGATAGTATATATCAGGTGGCTGCAGAACTCACCAAGAAACTGTGTTATTTCTGACGGCAAAATTTGGTGTTTCAATTTGTACCTAGCAAAAGAGGTTGTAGATTTTCTTGAGTTGGAACAGAGATGCAGCTGTAGCACCAATAGATGGATTTATGCCTTTTCATATTGTAGTCTTGTTGATATTGGGTTTAAATTTATGTGTGGCAATGGAGGTATACATCCTTTTCTAGTTTGCTCCCCTTATTGTCAAGGGGTTAATTGCAATTGGCGAGAGTGGAGGAGATATCTCAGACAATTGACTCATTAATTGGTGAGGGCTCATATGGAAGAGTGTATTTCGGTGTTATGAGAAGTGGGCAGTCTGCAGCCATCAAGAAATTAGATTCTAGTAAGCAACCAGACCTGGAATTTCTAGCACAGGTTTGGCTTATTATTGAGCATTATCTTCAATTCTTCTATTGTTTTGCAATAAATATTTTGTCGAATTTAATAGTTCACACATGATTTTACAGGTTTCCATGGTATCAAGACTTAAACAAGAAAATATTGTTGAGCTTGTTGGTTATTGCATTGATGGCCCTCTACATGTCCTTGTCTACTAACATACTTCTAAAGGATTTCTTGATGACATTCTTCATGGTTAAGTGGTGTCATATTATTTCTATGTTTTCAACTCTTAGCTACCATACCAATAAAGATCATTATGTGGATTGACTTTATAAATCATGAAAGGTGTTTCTAGCTGAGGGGTGATCATTTATATTTAAAAATTCTGGTATTCTTTGCATATCATAATTGGTTTTAAGTTTTGTAATTGATGGTTGTGGAAGCCTAGTGTCAAACAAATTTGAGAGATGAATAGAAGATGATATTCAATTCTCAAAATAAAAAAGTTACCCTCATTCTTAATGTGCTAATTATTATGCCATTTGCAGCATCTTCAATACTGCCCTGACAATGATTTCATCTCTCCTATCACTGCAGCGTGGACAACAGAGCCTTGTGACATGGGTATGAACTTCATCTTTGTTCTTTTCTACCTCTAACTCGATTTGGAACAAACATATTTTTTTTATTTTGTTATTCTCTGTACTGATAGCTAGCAAATTCATGTGTAGCTTCATTCAAGCTGTTTTTTATGCAATTCTGGATTGTTTAAGGCAACTCCAAAACTCAGTGAAGATAAGGTGAAGCAATATGCTAAATTAAATGGAGAATACCCTCCTAAGGAAGTTGCAAAGGTACTAAAGGTGGTAACTTCGACTGAAAATAATACATGAAATGCGAGTGTTTTCGGTGGAAGAGCAAAAGATTGTGAAGAAGGTTTTGAATATCCAGAAAGCAAAGGAAAAGCAAGCTTCAAGGAGCTAGAAAGTGCGAGGGTGAAAGCCCAACTTTTTGGATTTTAAGAAATGAATGAAAAACTGGAAAAGCTACTTTTGTTGTATTGAATTCCCTATTTTTATTGGGTTTGAATTGATAAAATTTCTTATATATATATATATATATATGCATGGTAATTTTACAATCTAGATTCTTATTTATGCAAATTGGTAATGCTAATGTTTAGTTTTATTTGGGTTTAAATTGACAAAATTTAAAAATAATTAGGGTTGCAACAACTATAGGGCATTGTTTTAAATCCCGGTTTGGAGGGCAACCTGTTTTGCTACCCGGGTCACGGGTCAACTGGTCCAACCGGTTAGATCGATGACGTCAACGACAATTTTATTTTTAAAAAATTACATATTAATCCCTTAAATTTTAATATATTATAAAAAATTCCCCTAAAAAGTTCAAATTAGTCCCAAATTTTTTTATTTATTTAAAAAATGCCCCAAAAATTACCAATTAATCTCTAAAGTTTTGACATATCTCCAAAACATCCCTATAAATTATAAAGTAACCCTTATAATTTTGAAATATTACAAAAATCCCCCTAAGACTTGAACCGAACTGGAGAAGCTGCCGGGTCTCGGTCAGACCGGTCCGGCTTTTAAAACAGAGCTATAGGGACATATTGGTAATTTTAAAAGTTTTAAATTTTAAAAATCTAAGGTGATTTAAAACATTATTTTTAATAAAAAACAAGAAGGACAAATTGGTAGGCATATCAGTAATTTCATATTTAAAGAAGGGTATATTGGTGATTGATTTTGTTGATATGACAAATAATAAGAAAAATTAAGTTAAATAGTAAAGGATATTTTCGTCTTTATAGTCAACAGTAACGGATTTTCTTAACAAAACACAACGGGGGGTGGGAAAGTGTCATTTTGAAACTTACAGGTGGGAAAATGCCGTTTCGGAAAACCTTGGGTGGGAAAATGTTATTCTCCCATTATTAAAAAGTCAAACTTTGAAAAATAGTTTAATGAGGTGTATACTTAAATTGGATTTAGATAGGATCAATTGTTTTTGAGAAATTATTAAAATAGCCAAAATTTGGGGTCCTAATTGAAAACTGACCCATTCTTAAAAGTCTTTTAAAAAATAGCTTAACCTCAATTTCCACATTTTAAAATGATCAAAATACCCCTACTGTATAAACCTAATTTATTCTAACCCACTTTTCCAATTCACTCTTGAAACACACAACCCTTTACCGCATTGTAATATTAACAATTGTTACATAATTTTTGTTTCGAATCTAAGAATTTGAAGAAGTTATTTTTTCACTTGTCTCGTTTTCTCTCCTTTATTGGTGTTGTTAATGATGATTTAGAAATATATAATGGTGTTGATGTTTGGGATGATAATTAATTTGGTGTGGAGATGTTTTGGGTGGATAAGTGGATGGTCAAGTGTTGTGATTAGGAATGTATACGAGCTGAGCTGATCAAGTATCTGTCTACTCGAGCTCGACTTGACTTTTATAGTTTCGAGTTCAACTCCGAGCTCGAGTCTGGATGAGCTTTATTTGTTGAGCTTGAGCTTGAGCTTGAGCTCAAGCTCGACACCTAAATGGGGTACTTGAGCCTGGCTCAACTGCCTACCCATCATGTTGTGTACTCCTTAATGGAAGGAGTGATGGGTGGTTACTAGGTGTTTCTTTGACTCAACACAAGCGTAGAATGGGATCGTGATATCGTTCACGTAGACACAAATTGTTGACTATTGCTCAACGAAGGAAGAAAATTGATACAACTTGATAGCCTCAAGGCTAACACAGGAACAATGAAGAATATTCAGAATTTTTTTTATTATTGGGCATCGACTTTCATGAGAAACTAGCCTTTTTATAGGCTTAAACTCCTAATTATAGACTAACTGAAATTCCTAAACAATTAAGAATGAGTAAAACTCTCCAACTAATAAGAAACTGAAATTCCTAAACAATTAAGAATTAGTAAAATTGTCCAACTAATAAGAAATTGAATTTAAATCAAAATCCATGTTGTGGTCCTCCATCATTCTTCCCCACTAGAAAAGAACTCGACCTCGAGTTATTGTTGTCTAAATCTTCAATAGGATAGAACAAAGTGAGATCCATGACGTTGAAAGTCTTAGAAATACCCATGTCAGCCGGTAAATCCACCACATAAGCATTATTGTTGATCTTTTTCAGAATCTTATAAGGACCATACCTACGTTGCCTTAACTTTCCTTGATATCCCACAACTAGTCTTTCTTTCCGGAGGTAGACCATGACTTCATCGCCTTCGTTGAACACTTGAGCTCTTCGATGTTTATCAGATGAATATTTATAAGTCAAATTGCTCTCCTCCAAAGCTTGCTTCACTTCGTCGAAGAATTTCGTGTAGTTATTAGCCATAGCCAAAGCTCCCCTACTCTTGTCCTTGTTTAATGGAATTCTCGCCAAGTCAACCACATGTCTTAGAATTTTTGTGTAGACAATAGTGAACGGACTTTTTCCAGTTGATCTACTCACCGAGCTATTATAAGCAAACTCGGCTTATGCTAAAGAGAAATCCCATTGCCCCTTTTTATCTCCACAAAGGCATCTAATCAAGTTTCCTAACGATCGGTTGACAACCTCTGTCTGCCCATTAGTTTGTGGGTGAGCGGTGCTACTAAACTTTAACTCAGTGCCAAATCGCTTCCACAAAGTTAACTAGAAGGCTGCAAGAAACTTACTGTCTTTGTCTGACACGGTTGATAAAGGAATTCCATGCAATTGGACAACCTCTTGAAAGAATAGCTTTGCTAAATGTGACATTTTTGAAAACCTATCTACCACCACAAATACAGAGTCGTGCCCTCTTTGCGTTCTTGGTAATCCAGTCCATTGATACATCATCCCATGGTGCTTGTGGCATAGATAAAGGAATGTATAACCTAGTGTTTTGTTGATGCCCTTTACTTACTTGACATGTCAAACACCTTTGCACAAATTTGCTCCTACCTTTCTTTAATTGTGGCTAGTAGTACCTCCCTTCTAGTCTTGCGATAGTCTTATCTCTACCCATATGTCCACTCAAATTACTAGTATGCAACTCTCGAATCAACTTGTCTCTCAATGAGCTTCTTAGAATACATAATCAGTTTCCTTTGAACAAGTAACCCTCTTGAGCTACGAAGTCTCCTTTGGGTAAGTTCAACACATGCTTTCTCCAACTATCCCCAAAATCTTCATCATTCTCATACAAGTCCTTAAGTTGATCAAAGCCAATTACCTCAGGCACTACTTGTGTCAATAATGTAGCTCGTCGACTTAATGCATCAGCTACTCGGTTGGTTGCTCCGGACTTATGAACAATCACAAAATTAAACTTCTCTAAGTAGGCAACCCATCTTGCTAGCATGCGATCCACGTGCTTTTGAGTTCTAAAATGTTTAAGAGCTTGATGGTCTGAGTAAATAATAAACTCCCTTGGTAATAAATATGCTTCCCATGTCTTCAAACACCGGAAAACCGCATACAGCTCTTGTTGGTAAGTGGACCACTTCTGTCGTGCTTCACTTATTTTCTCACTAAAGAATACTATGGGCCACTTCTCTTATGATAGAACTCCTCTAATGCCTATGCTACTAGCATCGCATTCTAGTTCAAATACCTTCTCAAAGTTTGGCAAGGCGAGTATTGGGGCTGTTATTAGTTTCTCTTTAATCAACTCAAAACTCTTTTTGGCATTTTCTCCCCATTCAAATCTCCCTTTCTTCAGGCAGTTAGTGATTGGGGCCACAATTCCACTAAAGTTTCGGATAACCCTCTGATAAAAAGTTGTGAGCCCATGGAAACTTCGGACTTCAATAACAATTCTTGGCGTCTTCCAATCTCGGATGGCCTTTACTTTCTTTTCGTCTACTTGGACTCCTTCATTGCTTATCACAAACCCCATAAATATAAGTTTGTACAATAAAAACATGCACTTCTTCAAGTTGATATAAAGCTTGTTCTCTTTGAGTACGATCAAGACTTGTTTGAGATGTGTGAGATGCTCCTCTTTACTTTTGTTGTAGATTAAAATATCGTCAAAGTAGACGACTACAAAATTGGATAAGAAGGGTCTCAATACCTGGTTCATTAACCTCATAAAGGTGCTTGGTGCGTTGGATAGTTCGAATGGCATTACTAACCACTCGTACAAGCCATCTTTCGTCTTGAAAGTTGTTTTCCATTCATCTCTGGGTTTAATGCGTATCTGATGGTAGCCACTCTTCAAATCAATCTTTGAGAACACCTTGGCTTCATGCATTTGATCAAGCAAATCGTCAAGCCTTAGAATTGGGAACTAATACATGACTATGATCTTATTGATGGCCCAATTGTTTACACACATTCTCTAGCTTCCATCCTTTTTAGGTGTCAATAGAGCAGGTAGTGCACATAGGCTGATGCTTTCTTGTATATACCCTTTGGCCAACAAATCTTCCACCTGCATTCGCAAAACTTGGTTCTCTTTTGGACTCATGCGATAGTGAGATGAATTTGCCAGGCTGGCTCCAAGTATTAAGTCAATCTGATATTGAATGTCACGCAAGGGTGGCAATCTGGTGGGCTCAGTCATCACCTCTTCATGCTCAGTCAGTAAAGACCCCACCTTAATTGCGATAGTTTGCCTCTGTTGTTCTTCCCCTTTGACAATTAACGCTACTCTAGTCTGCGACTCTTCAAAAGACCCCAGAAATTGATCAGATTTTTCAATTGTGATTGATACCATGGTTTTCTCATCTTGTGACACATTACTCTAATCTCTCTCAGGCATGATAGTGATCTTCTTTTGGTGCCATATGAAAGAGTATATGTTATCTCTGCCTCGGTGTGTAGCATCCACATCATACTGCCATGGTCGTCCAAGAAGTACATGGCATGCATCCATCACCATGTCACAAAGGACCTCAGACTTGTACGTTTTTTCCCAAAGCTAAAGGCAATCTACACTGTCTCTTTACTCGCACACTTGGTCCCTTCTTAATCCACCCAATTGTATAGAGATTTGGGTCTGTCTTCAGTTTCAAATGCTCCACTAATGCTTTTGAAACCAAGTTTTCACTGCTACATCCATCAATAACAAGCTTGAAAATGTTGGAATTCACTACACATTTCCTTTCAAAGATCTTCTTGCGTGGAGTTTCTTCAGGCTTTGTAGGTGAATACAAGATCCTCTTTACTATTAAAACAATCTCATCTCCTTGCTCGTCAACAATCTCTTCATCTTCCCCTCCATCAAATACCACTTCTTCCTCCTCATCCTCATCCTTCTTAGGTTATGTGTAGTTGGTGAATTTTCTTCTTGGGCAATCGTTGGATCGATGCCCATACTCGTTGCATTTGAAGCACTTGATTCCTCTGTTCACGTCCACTTTCTCCTTTCCCTTTGGTTCAATTTTCTTGGCCTCTACTGTTTTTCCACGGTTCAAATTCTCGAACTTAGGAATAATAGTCTTTGAATCTTCTTGCTTCTTTGATTGGTTACTCCTTTGTAACCCCTCCTCATTAAAAGCCTTTCAGCCCTCGTAACAAGGTTATGTGATTGATCCATAGACCAAATGCTATGCATTGCTATCTGGTCTTGGATAGAATAAGACAATCCATTGACATATCTCGCCACTTGCTGATCTTCCATCTCATTCACGTCACAACGAGTTTGTAGTCTTAAGAACTCCTCTGTATAGGTAGCTACTGTCCTCGCCCCTTGATAACAGTTTTGGAGTTGCTGAAATAGGGTCTGCTCATAATCTATCGGAAGAAACCTTGCCTTCAATAAGGCTTTCATTTGTTCACAGGCTCTCACGACAGGTAACCCTCTCATCCTCTGCTTTTCTTGGTGCCTCTGCCACCATGCTCCTGGTCCTCCTTTTAGTTTATATGCCACCAATCTCACTTTCTGTTTGGGGTCGATCTGCATAACTTCAAGGAATCGTTCTATTCCGTATAACCAATCCAAGAACTGTTCTATGTCCGTTACTCTATTAAACGTAGGCAGTGCGACCTTAATCTTGTATGTGTTATGATTGATCTGTTGTCTCCTTGGTTGTGGTCCTGGATAGTAACCTCCTCCATAATTTTCTTCCAACTCGGGCATGGAATTGATGTCATCATTGGATAGGTGTAGAAGTTGGTTGTTTATAGGAGTGTTTGGTTCTGTATAGTTTTGGCCAAATAATGGGTTGGTGTGTGAGTTTCGGATGTGTGGTGTTTGGTTTTGGGGAAATCTGTTAAGGCGAGGTTGGTTGAGGGGTGGTGGGTTTCTGACAGGGGTAGATTGAGGATGGTTTTAAGTGGTTTGTGATTCAGGGTTAAGGTTAGGATTTTCAAATTGGTTGAGCCTTACCTCATAGTTATCCATCCTGGTACGTAGTTCATGTATCTCGGTTGTGAATTCTGATATCTGTCTGGTCAAGGCTTCAATGGTAGTCTCTAACCTTCGGGATCCTTCTTCTTCTTGCCCAACTATCTCAAGACAGGGCTCTGATACCACCTGACGCAGCACAAGCATAGAATGGGGTTGTGATATCGTTCACATAGACGCAAATTCTTGACTATTGCTCAACGAATGAAGAAAATTGATACAACTTGATAGCCTCAAGGCTATCATAGGAACAATGAAGAATATTCAGAATTTTTTTTTATTAATGGACATCGACTTTCATGAGAAACTGGCCTTTTTATAGGCTTAAACTCCTAATTATAGACTAACTGATATTTCTAAACAATTAAGAATTAGTAAAACTCTCCAACTAATAAGAAATTGAGATTCCTAAACAATTAAGAATTAGTAAAACTGTCCAACTAATAATAAATTGAATTTAAATCAAAATCCATGATGTGGTCCTCCATCATTCTGAGTCCCTACTCTAGCCATAATAAAACATCTTCTTCATTAAAGATTGTTTTTTATGGTTTTCCAATTGGCATAGGATAGAAGATAGCTCTCTAAATTTCTCTCAAAATCATCTTAGTATAAGCATTTCTCTAACACTTGAGCAATAATGGTTGGATGTAAGTGATTAATTTTCGTATTAAGTATATCTAATTTTATTTTATATAGCATCACGAAGCAATTAAGGCCTAGGGTGGGCCCGTGCCATCCCTGAGGTTTAAAAAAAAGTTGCAAGTTCTTACACTTAGGCCCTGAATCTTTTTATAATTTATTATCCCCTGAATCTTTTTATAATTTATTACCCCCTCAAATTCCTTACAAAAACATGTAAAATGAAATTTTACCAAATTCAATATTAAAAAAACAAACTAGATTAGATTTTAGATTATAAATAAGGCCCATCGTATAGAAAATTCAATAATCCAATCCAATAATCAAGCCCAAAAACAAACTAAATGAAACTTTAGATTATAAATAAATAAAACACATTTTATACAAACTTAATAAATTAACATTTTGATATAGGACAAATTCTTTATACCTAAGAAATCACATTCTACTATTATAGGTTTCCTTATTTTAGTATGTTTTCCATTATTTTCTTTATCATTTTTCAAGAAATTATAACGTATTGATAAAAACTATTATCAATAAATATTGGAACTTTCAATATTTATCATTATAAAAAAAATTTATCACTTGAATTTTCGGCTCTGCCACTATGTATAGTAGTTCAAGCAAATGAACATATAGAGCATCTTAGACAAGTTTTTCTTACCTTTTGGATAGAAAAAATTATGCCATCCTTAAATAGTGTTCTTTATTGTACATATGATTCATATTCCTATGTTGCATAATGTTTGCCGAAGGGATTAATGTCGATGAGGACAAAGGTAAAGGCGTTTACCATGTGGCCTATACTTATAAACTTTTTTAAGGGAGAGTTTAGTGGACCTTATGAACACCTGAAATTTTCAAAAGTAAAAATTCAATTTCTTCTTTAATTTTTAGATTGGATGAATATTTTGCTTTTGAAGTTTGGATAAGGGGCTTTTGAAAGGATTATGAAAGAAGAGGGTTGATGAGATTTGTACAAGTTCAAGGGGTCACCCAGTACACTGATGAGATTATATGAGTTGATTGGGGTTGTTTATGCAATGTTTCAATCGTTTGGGTTTATTTAGAATTGAGGTAAGGGCAGTATTACTATATTAGGATTGTTTTGTAACTTGATTGATTTTGTATAAGAAGAAAACATATTAAATGTTGCCTTCATTCGAGCGTTTGAGAGAACTGATTATATAGAGCAGAGAAATATGTAGAGAAAAGGGGAAAGAATTGAGAAAACGAAAAGGAGAAAGGTAGGTTGTTATGGATTGAGGTAAGTATAATCATACGTAATATATGTATTTTTACATGCATATGCTTTATTATTTGAAAATGGGAATTCTCATGAAGAAACTGATTTTCATATGTACGAAATTGTTATGTTTTATAAAACTATGTAGCTTTGAAGTGTTTATTCGTCAAACGGATTTGTAGAAAAGTATACATGAACATGAACATGAATCATATATTGATATTATAGTTACATTTTCCTTGTTTTTTTGCAATTATAATTAGATTTTAATTAATTATTTCATTAGTTATTTTTACTATAATAGTATCTAGGATATTATCAATTTAGTTACAACTGTTTTTTACAAATTGCTAAANAGTAGTTCAAGCAAATGAACATATAGAGCATCTTAGACAAGTTTTTCTTACCTTTTGGATAGAAAAAATTATGCCATCCTTAAATAGTGTTCTTTATTGTACATATGATTCGTATTCCTATGTTGCATAATGTTTGCCGAAGGGATTAATGTCGATGAGGACAAAGGTAAAGGCGTTTACTATGTGGCCTATACTTAAAAACTTTTTTAGGGGAGAGTTTAGTGGACCTTATGAACACCTGAAATTTTCAAAAGTAAAAATTCAATTTCTTCTTTAATTTTTAGATTGGATGAATATTTTGCTTTTGAAGTTTGGATAAGGGGCTTTTGAAAGGATTATGAAAGAAGAGGGTTGATGAGATTTGTACAAGTTCAAGGGGTCACCCAGTACACTGATGAGATTATATGAGTTGATTGGGGTTGTTTATGCAATGTTTCAATCGTTTGGGTTTATTTAGAATTAAGGTAAGGGCAGTATTACTATATTAGGATTGTTTTGTAACTTGATTGATTTTGTATAAGAAGAAAACATATAAATGTTGCCTTCATTCGAGCGTTTGAGAGAACTGATTATATAGAGCAGAGAAATATGTAGAGAAAAGGGGAAAGAATTGAGAAAACGAAAAGGAGAAAGGTAGGTTGTTATGGATTGAGGTAAGTATAATCATACGTAATATATGTATTTTTACATGCATATGCTTTATTATTTGAAAATGGGAATTCTCATGAAGAAACTGATTTTCATATGTACGAAATTGTTATGTTTTATAAAACTATGTAGCTTTGAAGTGTTTATTCGTCAAACGGATTTGTAGAAAAGTATACATGAACATGAACATGAATCATATATTGATATTATAGTTACATTTTCCTTGTTTTTTTGCAATTATAATTAGATTTTAATTAATTATTTCATTAGTTATTTTTACTATAATAGTATCTAGGATATTATCAATTTAGTTACAACTGTTTTTTACAAATTGCTAAAAACGGGACACAAATTTCAATTTGTTCAATTTACGGACACTAAATAGTAACTCTATTCAATTTAGGGACAAAACATACACTAATTTCAATTTGTTCAACTTAGGGATACTAAATAATAGCATGTTTAATTTAGGGAGCTTATTGTTAACTTTAACAAAAAACACCAAAAAGACCCTACTTATTTATTTGGTTTTAGATAAATATTTAAAAAGTTTGTTTGATTTCAAAGTTCAAATATTAAAATTAATAAAATAAAAAGAAAAATCCCGTTTTAAAATCTTTAAAAAAGGCAAAAAAAGTTTGCATGATAAAAATTGACAACAATTTTTATTTATAAATTAAAAAATTAATAAATAAATGAAAAAAATAAAAATAAAATGAAAAGACGTTGGCTTTCCCTCAAGCCAGCCTCGCTGGCCAAGCGTGCCTATCAGCTATGTTGTTGGCATGAAGGAAAACCAACTTTTACTTTTGTATAACGGTATAACCCAGCCAAGGATGAATAACATTTAATTTTTGAAAATCTTAAAAATCAACAACGGCTCTACGACCCACTACTTTCTTCTTTGTATAAGTTACGCTTTTTTGTTGCTTGTGAACCAGTTTCATTTCTCGCTAGTTTTGGCTTTCAATTACAGAGATTTTGTGTTCTTTGTTGGGATTCAGAGAGTCACGGATATGGCGTTTTTCGCGGATGATGTGTACCTTTTGGCTACTGTGAGTGTGGAGGGGCGAGTTTATGTTTGGAAGATATGTGAAGGTCCAGATGAACAAGATAAGCCACAAATTACAGGCTTTCTTTGTCAGTCAATTCCACTCTCTCTCTACTTTATTGGTGTATTTACGTTTGTGGGTGGGCTTAGTTTCATGTAATTTCGATCTTCTGCATCTGGGTTTTGTTATGCATATGTACGGCGATTGTGTTTTGAATCTTTGGTTGTGTATTTTTTTTCTTACACTAATCTCTCTCTTCAATATACATCATGAAATGTTGAACAAAAATCAGTTTGATTAATTCTTGATTTTGGTTTTGATTTTCGATTACGTGTGTTTTGAAATTTATGCCTATGCTCTCTTGCTTGCTTTCTTTTTCAATCAATTCCACTCTCTCTCTACTTTATTTGTTATGTTTTATTTAATCGTTTAATTTATATTTCTTGTTTAATTCACCCCTCTGATTGTGATTTAAATTCTGCATTAAACAGAAGATTTGATATCAGCGCTTTAATCAAACAGAAGATTTTGTTTTTGTCTCTTTGTAGTGCCCTTGTGGTGTACATTTCTCTTTGAAATAGTTGGGCATCCTCCTTCGTAGGTTGTCCATTTCATTTCATTTCATTTTCTCAGTAATCAAGCAAGAGGGTCTTCAAAATTTTCTTTCTACTCAGTAAATGTCACACTTTCAACTATTATTTGTTGCAGATATTGTATGAAGTGTAGATTAATATTAATAAAATATCATTTCCCTGAAAATGGAGTGTGCATTTGTGGGCAAGTTCTGTATACATTGTTGGTGAATTCTAGGAGGCTTAAGATTAAGAGAAGAATGGAAATGAGAACTCACAGCAAGTTTTACGCCTCTAAATTCAAGATTACATCAGTGCTTTCTTAAGCAAATCATAATCCTTCTTTGCAGGTCTCATTCTCATAGTTCGTTGATTTGCTGAAAGTCTATATTTTTACTTTGTTTGATGACTGAGTACAAATATCATTTATTTATTTTATGGAGGAAGTTATGTATAGTTAGGTATTACTTCCTGTGTGAAAAGAACAAATGAATTGTAGACAATGGAAAGTTTGGTTTTTCCTCAGTGAAGGCTATAATGTGTCATTGATTCTAGTCTGGGACGAAACGGAATTAATACCTGAAATTTCTAAGGCTCTTGGAAGAACTGGAGATCATGTGTATTGATTTTGCTAGAATTTTTTTGTTTCGGATAAGAATTGTTGTTAATTAAAATTTGTTGATATAATTTTGTGTGCTTTGTGATTTAAATTATATTGATTTTGTTTATGGCAGAATGTTCGGCGATATTCGGTTGTGAAACTTCTCTGTGTCATGTCTTTCTTTGTGACCATATGTGCCACCACCTCAATTTTGCAGGTAGCTACTGAAAAACAGGGAAGTCCAGCTGGTTTTGGTCTTGGAGAATGGGTTTGGCCTTCTCCTGGGGATGAAATCCCATTTTGGATGAACAAATTTCCCTCAACAAATGTGAGCCCAGAAGTTTCAGCTGACATAGAGAAGGACTCCAATCTCTTGCACATTATTCATATTACAGCTGAAATGGCACCTATAGCAAAAGTTGGTGGTCTTGGTGATGTTGTAAGTGGATTGGCCTGTCCATGTTTGTCACGCGGCCATGCAATAGATGTAATGCTCCCTTTCTATGAGTGCATTCAGATACAGGAGATCAATGATTTGGAATTGATCAATACATATAACTCTTATCATGATGGTGATTGGTGGTAAAAGCCTATCGTGGGTTAGTCTCAGGAATCTCGGTGATTTTTATTGAATCATCAAATCAGTTCTTCAAGGGGCAATATTTCTATGGGGGTTCATACAATGAGCTGGAGGCATATGTATTTTTCAGTCGTGCTTGCCTAGAATGGATGCAGGTCTGTGAATTGGCATTGGGTATTATCTTTAGTTCTGTAAATTATTATCTAGACTACACTATTTTGAAACAGATCAAGCTGGTCTTTGAATTATTAAACAAATAGAAGATTATGTATTGAAGATTTAAGTTTTTTCTGGTGTGTAAAGTGTAAACTACTAAAACACTGAAATTTTTTGCATGAAGTGTATGTCTTGTCTTAATTGACAGTGTACAGGTAAAAAAATTTCACCTGCATTCACTTATCCAAGAGGTTGGGTGGTAGCAAGTGATCAAGCTAGTGACATCTCAAATGATATACTTCTTGCTTACTTTTTTTCAAAGTTTTTTTGGAGCTTAGTATCATTGGTTGAGTTATTGTGTTCTTCTGAAATCTAACAAGATAGTACTACATAGCAGGTGACTGGAGTTCATCCTGATATCATTCATGTCCATGAGTGGCAGACAGGTGCTTTGCCCCTGCTTTACTGGGATATGTATCACCTTCTTTCGCTCAAGGTATTTTACTTGGTTTTCTGTTATCGCTATCTGTACAGAGTTCATTTCTTTAAGTTTCTTACTAGAATAAAGAAATATTGTAAATCAGTCTTTTTTTGCATATAATGTTGATAATATTTATGTACTTTGCAGAAACCGAGAATAGTGTTGACAATCCACAACATGGAGCATTATGAGGAATGCAGGTAACTCACAGCTTCTTTTTTTCCTTTTGTTATTATTTGAGTTACCATTTATCTTCATAGTTGTTTTCTTTATCACGTATCCGTGCTTCTTCATCTGGATTTTTCATAAAATACAATCTTACAAGTAGTACAAATTCCCTTGAGAAGTTAAAGAAATCTAAAGAACATTATACTCTTCTCACCACATGGTTATGCATTGGATAGATTCATACAATATAACAATGATTAAAAGCCAGCTATTTTGAAAAACCACCCCCTACTTAACCAATTCTGTTTCAATCTAAAATTCTGAAAACCTGTTTCAGTCTATTTAATCATCATTAATATATTATTTAACCCCTCTGATTCTGCTCTCATTCTACTTCCTATTCGATCTTTTCCTAATTTTCTGTCCTCTCCTTTTCTTTCCTTCTGCCTGTCCAAAATCATTTTTTTTTTTTTTTTTATAATTACCAGGATTCCTGAAATCCAGGAGTTTCAGAATTAAATTCAAATGAAAAAAGACCTAATTACTCAAGTTAAACTTGATTGAATTGTGAGAATATTCTAATGTGCTGAAATTGTTGAAATTACAATTCGGTCATTGCATAAGTGATAGGAAAACTCATGTTTAACTTCATGAAGCAAAAACTGATTAAACGATATACTACTGGTGATCCAGTCGTCAAAATCATGTAAATCTTGCATCTAAGATATTGTTTGAAAACCCAAAAAGTGATAAACATAAGTTACTGAAACTTAGAATTTTGCAACAAAATCCTTTTGTTATTCTGCATGGCTTAAATTCTGATATTTCATGGTCCATGCAAAGTTACTAGCTTGTAAATGCTGGAGATTGGTGTTGTTGTGTCTTTGTGTATTTTTGGCACGCGATAATATAAATAAACAAAATGTTGATAAGTTCTGTTCTTATCTTGTATTTTTTTCCATCTCTTTAAGATGTGTGTTTCTTATGTTTGCAGAAAAGAGCAACTCAGTAAATGTGGTCTTGATGGATCTATATATGGAACTGAGGACAAGGTGAGCTTTTTATGTGGATATCATACATGCATTTTAAAATTTTAATTTGTCAATTACCTATATTTGTAGATACTTAGTATATGGCATCGAAGCATCAGATTATGTTAAATAACTAGTACTTGTTTGTTATGGTAGCATTTTTTCTGCTGCAAAGAGGTGGGTTGATTTTTTGTCATGGCAATCCAAAAGGAATAAAGATTTTTATATTGTCTTCTCTATTACTCTCATCTCCTAATGAAAAGATGTTTGGTTCATTCGGCCATGGATTTATTTATTTTTAAGTTTTAATGTGCTAAAATCTTTGAGAACTCAGATTATGGTTTTGATTTTCTTTTTTCTGTTAAAGCTTCACTCACCTATTGCTCTAGTTAAACTCCAATATACTCTTGTAAATAGCTAAAGCTTCTAGTTTTCTAATATCTATTAACTTGGCAGGCAGTCGATGATTGAACAATTGGCCACAATCCTAAGAGACTGAGCCTATTGAAGGGTGGAATTGTGTAAGCAGTGTTGTAATGTGAGTGGTCTTTTGATTTGTGGTTTTGTGTTTGTAATTTTCTAAAATTTGCGTGCTCTCTTCTCTCACATATTATTATTTCTTACTACTCATGTCACTTTCTTCTTTATCTCTTAACACCCATTGACTGCATCTTGCCTATGTGCAGATCTTCTTGTTCTCATTTTTGGACACTCTTGTTTTTTATTGCTAGTAGATGTGTTATAATACTACTCAAAACAATTGCTTCTTGCTGAATGAATAAATGAAAATTTGGGTTCAAAGCTAGTAGGGATTCAACATATTTTGAATTGGCTGTGCTTGACTAATATTTAAGAGTCCTCTTTTCAAGAGCTAGAAACACGGTGATGTCAGTACAACAATCATTGTCATCTTATTGAGGAGTAAACCTTACAGCTTTGAATTTGAATATGTTGAAGTGTATAATTCTATATTAGGATATTAGGATTATAATCAAAATATATATTAAGAACAAAAGCTGTAAAATAGGAAGTTATATTATTTATTTCCTAGATTAGATTATTTGTTTCCTAAATTAGTTCTTTATTTTCCTATATATTGATGTATTATTTTCTGATCATAACACGAAATATAAACACACTATTAGTTCTCTTTGATTTTTCACATGGTATCAGAGCTAGGTTGTCAGAAATTTTAAATTTTTTTTTCTAGCGAAGCTTTTCGGTGACAATTATGCGTTTCTCTCTGGTGTTCAGAACCTCCATCTAACCATACACGTCTCATCGTCTCCATTTTGCCGGTAGAACCTCACAAAGATCGACGTCATTGGCCGCCGCACACACAGTGTTTCTTTCCAGCAGATCCAACTCCGATCTCCTTTTTCGGCGAGAATCAGTTCTCACCGTCGGCACCAGCTTGCTCAGAAAATGACGACGAGCAAAACTCACTAAGGTTCTATTGCCTTTGATGTCAAACTTCGACAGCTTCACCAGATTTTGCCGCTATCCTCGCCGGATCTTCTGCTCCGATCTGTTTGTTTGATCCGTGTTACCTTTGGTTCTGGTTTCCGGTCAAATTTGCTGGTTATCATGGGTACTTCTAGCTCAAACTCCACTTCCGTTGGTTTTTCTTTCTTGTCTCTCTAACTAATCACCACTGATAAGTTGATTGGGAGTGCGAATTATTCTTCTTGGGTTGCCTTTGTCGAGTTATGGTGTACGGGTCAAGGTCTAGAGGATCACTTGACCACAAAGGCTATTGACATCACATCAGATAAGTCTTCCTGGATCAAAACTGATGCTTTATTGTGTAATCTATTATGGCAATCAATTGACACTAATTTGCATCCCATTTACAAAACATACTGCACATGTTGTGAGATATGGAGTTAGGCTAAACTACTATATACCAATGATATTCAACGCTTGTATTCTGTTGTGTCCAATCTCATTCATCTAAAACAATAGGATATGAGTGTCAAATTTTCTTGGTAAGATGGTCTCCCTTAAGGCAAAGGACAATCTTCTCTTACCCGCTGGTAAATCTATTGTAGAAGATCTAGCACAATGAGATAAATTCTTCATGGTTTTAACCCTTGCTGCTATTAGTCCTGATTTCACTCCTGTTCGAGATCAGATTTTAGCTAGCGCTACTGTGCCGTCTCTTGATGCAGTATTTGCTAGGTTACTTCGGGTTTCATCCCCAAGTACTATCCCCAGTTCTACCGCTGTTGACTCTTTTACTCTGGCTTCTCAGTCTCAAACTACTTATAAAGGAAAGTAGGGAGATCATGGTTGAAGCGGACGACCGAACTGTAGTTATTGTCATCGTTCAGGGCATACTAGAGAAAAATGTTACAAATTACATGGTTGCCCTTTTCAGACCGCTAATGTTGCTTAGGCTGACCTTTGTTCTAACTCTTTTGAAGGACACATTCAGTCATCATTAACTCTCATTGAGGCTGATTATGAAGAGTACCTCTAATTCCAGGCAAATAAGCAGTCTTCTTCATCTATTGCCTCTATCGCTCAATCGGGTAATTCAGTTGCATGCCTTACTCAATCTTCTTCTCTTGGACCTTGGGTTCTTGACTCGGGTGCCGCTGATCACATTTCTGGTAACCCTCAATTACTTTCTCATTTAACTAATGTTGCATCTTTACCATCCGTTACTTTAGCCAATGGCTCTAAAGCTGTTGTTAAAACTGTAGGTCATGCCAAACCACTTCCATCTTTAGAATTAGACTTTGTTTTCTATATTCCTAATTGTCTATTTAATCTTGTCTTTGTCAGTAAACTTACCCGCTTTTTAAATTGTTCTATATCTTTTGATATGGACTCTGTTGTTATACAGGATCGAGGCGCGGGATAGATGATTAGCACAGGACATGAGTCACAAGGCCTCTATCATCTCCATCTATCATCTATAGCATGCACTGTCATTGAATCTCCAACACTCCTTCATAATCGTTTGGGTCATCCCAGTTTAGTAAAGCTTAAAAAGATGCATCTTGGTCTATTTAATTTATCGTCTTTAAATTGTGAGTCATCTCAGCTTGGAAAACATTCTCGTAGCACCTTTCCAAAGCGTGTTAATAAACGGGATGCGTCCCTTTTTGAGTTAGTTCATTCAGATGTGTGGGGACCTTGTCGTGCGTCATTTATTTTAGGTTTTCAGTACTTTGTTACCTTTATTGATGATTACTCATGTTGTACTTGGTTATTCCTAATGAAAACTCGTTCCGTGTTATTTTCCATCTTTGAATCTTTTTGTGCGGAAATTAAGACTCAATTTAATTCTGTTATTAGAGTATTACGTACTCGCGAGTATATCTCTGATCTGTTTACTAAATTCATGTCTTCTTAGGGAATCCTTCATTAGTCCTCTTATGCTTATACCCTACAACAAAATGGGGTTATTGAGCATAAAAACAGACATCTCATTGAAACTGCTTGTACCTTACTTTTACATAATAAAGTCCCTTTTCGTTTTTGGGCAAATGTTGTTTTGACCACCTGTTTCTTAATAATCGGATGCTTTTTTTTGTCCTCAACGACAAGGTACCTCATTCCATTTTATTTCCTGATCAATCGTTGTATTCTATCCCTCCTTGTGTCTTTGGGTGCACATGCTTTGTCCATGTTTTCCTTCCTGATTAGGACAAACTGGCAGCTAAATCTACTAAGTGTATTTTCTTAGGGTATTCACGTCTTCAGAAAGGATATAAGTGTTATTCTCCATTAACACATCACTATTCTCTCTCTGTTGATGTTACGTTTTTTGAGTTGTCTCCATTCTTTTCTTCTTCTACCATAGATTGTGATTCAATTACCACAATCCTTCCCATATCGTACATAACCAATCTTCCAAAGTCTGTCATAGTCCCCCAATCTTCTACTACCGAGTCTCCCATTACAAATCATAGTCTTGTTCCATTTACAGGCACTATTCTTGATCTGGCTAGTGCCCTTGAGGCTCCTATCGATGGCAGTCCTGCTCCTAATTCCTCCAATGCCACAGTTCTCTCCTGATGATCAGTTTCCCATTGCCATTCGTAAAGGTATGCGGTCTACTCGCAACCCTCATTTGATCTATAATTTTTTAAGTTATCAGCGTTTATATTATGCATTTGTGTCCCACACTTTCTTCTGTTTCTGTCCCTTCAAATGTTCATGAGGCACTCTCTGATCCCGGATGACGTCAGGCAATGATTGATGAGATGACTGCTTTGCTTTATAATCACACATGGGAGTTCGTTCCATTATCTCTAGGACATTCGACTGTTGGGTGTCACTAGATTTATACGGTCAAAGTTGGTCTTGATGGTCAGGTTGATCGCTTAAAGTCCCGATTAGTTGCCAAGGGCTACACTCATATATGGGATGAATTATTTTGATACTTTTTCCTCGGTTGCTAAGATGTCTTATGTCCGCTTATTCTTAGCAATGACTGCTATTCAACATTGGCCTCTGCATCAATTGGATATTAAGAATGTCTTTCTTCATGGTGAACTTCAGGAAGACATTTATATGGAGCAACCTCTTGGGTTTGTTGCTTAGGGGGAGTATGCCTTGATATGCAAACTTCGTCGTTCTTTGTATGGTTTGAAACAGTCTCCTCGTGCCTGGTTTGGATGATTCAGTACTGTTGTCCAAGAGTTTGGTATGATTCGGTGCGAGTTTGATCATTCTGTCTTTTATAGACATACATCACTAAGACAATGTATCTATCTAGTTGTTTATGTTGATGATATTGTGTCATTACAGGGAGTGATCAAGATGATATTGAACAATTGAAGAAGCATTTATTCAGACACTTTTAGACCAAAGATTTAGGACTTCTTAAATACTTCCTTGGAATAGAAGTTGCTCAGTCCAAATCTGGTATGGTTATCTCTCAGAGAGAGTATGCACTAGATATTCTTGAAGAAACATGAATGTCCAATTGCAGACCAATAGACTCTCTTATAGATCCTAATTTAAAACTCTCACCTGGACAAGGGGAGTCGCTGACTGATCTTGGAAGATACTAAAGACTGGTTGTAAACTTAATTATCTCACTATCGCACGACTTGATATTTCCTTTTCTGTTAGTGTTGTAAGTCAGTTCCTACAGTCTCCATGCAGTTGTTCAGATTTTAAGGTATATAAAGGGTGCACCAGACAAAGGCTTGTTATATGAGAATAGGGGTAATTCACATATTATTGGATATTCTAATGCTGATTGGGCAGGGTCTCCATCTGATAAACGTTCTATTTTTGGTTTTTGTGTTCTTATTGGAGGAAACCTAGTGTCTTGGAAAACTAAGAAGCAAACTGTTGTTGCTCGATCAAGCTCAGAAGCTAAATACTATGCAATGGCCTTAGGTACTTGTGAGCTCATTTGGTTAAAACAACTTATCAAAAAGTTGAAATTTGAAGAAGTGTCACAAATGAAGTTACTCTTTGATAATCAAGCTGCTTTCCATATTGTCTCTAATCTAGTATTTCATGAGAGGACTAAACACATAGAAATTAATTGTCATTTTATTCGGAAAAAAGTTCTATCTGGATGTATTACCACTAGTCAAGTCAGTTCCAACTACTAGTTAGTAGACATCCTCACTAAATCTCTCAGGGGTTCGCGTGTTGATTTTATCTGTAGCAAGCTTGACACATATGACTTATATATGACTTATATGCTCTAGCTTGAGGGAGAGTGTTGAAGTGTATAATTCTATATTAAGATATTAAGATTGTAATCAATATATATTAAGAACAAAATTTGTAAAATAGGAAATTAAATTATTCATTTCCTAGATTAGATTATTTGTTTCCTAGATTAGTTCTTTATTTTCATATATATTGATGTATTATTTTATGATCATAACACAAGAAATGTAAACACACTATTAGTTCTCTCTGATTTTGCACATAACATATAAATTTCAAAAGTTATGTTGGATCTGGTAGGGTGAACTGTAATTGTTGTATTGTTCAACCTTTGGTTTAGTTCTTCTCTGAAAAATGTTTTTCACAAGTATTGGCTGGTACCGGACCTTGAGTTAACGGTTGGAGCCTACTTCCAGTTATGATAGAATATGAAAATGATGGTAACCATTTGTATACAATTATTTTAGAAATGCTCTTGTTTGTGTAAATTGAAATCTTAGCTCAAGTCTGTTTATTTATGCATGCCTTATTAATACTGAACCAGTATACGAAACCCAACATATAATTGCTGATAAAAATGAAATAAAACATTATCTTTTAATATATTGCATTTATTTATTTTTTATCTCTATCTTCATTTTCCTGAACTTATGTCAATATAGACTAATGCAATGTGGTAAAACACATTTGTAACCAAATAAAGCTATATGTAACTTACTTGTTCTAGTCAGCACTGCCCAATCCCATAGGACTATTGCTCTATTATTCTCCTTCCTAATGTTGGAAAAGTAACCCGCNAAAAAAAAAAAAAAAAAAAAACTTAATACAAACATGAGAAAATTGGTTGGCTAGGCAGGCAAGTGAAGAAATCAAAGTCACAGTTTCATAAACCTCTTTAGAAATGGTCAAGTTTAATGAAATTTCATAATCCATATTCTATTCTATATGCACAACTTATGATAGGTATAATTATTGTCTTAAATGATATTAATCCCAGTATATGTACTGTAAACTCTCTCTCTCTAACAAGAGTTAACTCCTGCCAATGAAAGTCAAGTCTATGTGTGCCGTCTACTCACAACCTTCATCCGATCTATAATTTTTTAAGTTATCATCGTTTATCTTCATCATATTATGCATTTTTGTCTACAATTTCTTCTGATTCTGTCCCTTCAAATGTTCATGAGGCACTCTCTGATCTTGAATGACGTCAAGCAATGGTTGATGAGATGACTGCTTTGCATCATAATCACACATAGGAGCTAGTTCCATTACCTTTAGGACATTCAACTGTTGGGTACAGTCAAAGTTGGTCCGGATGGTCAGGTTGATCGCTTAAAAGCCCGATTAGTTTCCAAGGGTTACACTCAGATACATGGGATGGACTATTTTGATACTTTTTCCCTGGTTGCTAGATGTCTTCTGTCCGCTTATTCTTAGCAATGGCTACTATTCAACATTGGCCTCTGCATCAATTGAATATTAAAAATGCATTTCTTCATGGTGAACTTCAAGAATATATTTATATAGAGCAACCTCCTAAGTTTGTTGCTCAGGGGGAGTCTTCCTTGGTATGCAAACTTCGTCGTTCTCTATATGGGTTGAAATAGTCTCCTCGTGTCTGGTTTGGACGATTCAGTACTTTTATCCAAGAGTTTGGTATGATTCGGTGTTCTATCTTTTATAGACATACATCACCAGGACAATGTATTTATCTGGTTGTTTATGTTGATGATATTGTCATTACAGGGAGTGATCAAGATAGTATTAAACAATTGAAGATGCATTTATTCAGACACTTTCAGACCAAAGATTTAGGACTTCTTAAATACTTCCTTGGTATAGAAGTTGCTCAGTCCAAATCTGGTATTATTATCTCTCAAAGAAAGTATGCACTAGATATTCTTGAAAAAACAGAAATGTCAAATTACAGACCAATAGACTCTCTTATGGATCCTAATTTAAAACTCTCACCTGAACAGAAAACCCTAATAGGTCCAAAACAGCAAAATAATGAATAATCAGAATAAAACGACAGCGTTTTCTTGAATTGGGAGATAGAGATAAGCTCCGAACTTCGAAGTCCAGCTCAGAGAATGAGAGTTTCCAGTTTTGGGCATTTGGCGCAAATTACGAGAGAAAGAGGACATTTGTCCAAAGGGCGCCAGGAGAACAGTGTGCACCAGGAAAATAAAGGAATTTTATAGTGAAAACTTTCAAATAAGGATTTTTTTTCTTTTCTTTTTTGTTGTTGTTTTTTTTCCCCGGGGGGGAGAGAGGGGAAGGGGAATATTATTAATTTCAATATTTGGACTAAATTAGTATTGGATTTTTACTTTTTTTGGAATATATTAAAAAATTTCTCTATTATTTTTTTTTAGAGAGATTCTTTGCTTACCTATTTAACATTGGAATCAAGATTTTTAAACTATATACTATGTAGGGCTTTTATGGATCAAAATAAATTTGCATGTAATTAGACCAAAAAAAAAGAACTTAATACAAACATAAGAAAATTGGTTGGCTTGGCAAGCGAAGAAATCAAAGTCACAGTTTCATAAACCTCTTTAGAAATGGTCAGGTTTAATAAAATTTCATAATCCATACACTATTCTATATGTACAACTTATGCTGGGTATAATTATTTTCTTAAATGATATTAATCCCAGTAGATGTACCGATAAACTCTTTTTCTAACAAAGAGTTGACCCCTGTAAACGAAAGTCAAGTCTAGGTCTACATCCGATTATTTTTTTTTTTTTTTTTTATTAGGATAATTGGCTACTTTGATACAACTTGAACTCAAGACTGGGCTGGCGTTTTCATTTTTCAACCATACGCCCCTCTATCAATTTGGCCATCAGTGGGTGGTTGGCATCCGAGAATTTTCAACACCTTAATATTAATAAAGCATCCTAAAATTTTTCATAAAGATACTGCTATAAATCCCATTTAAGGAATTATTATACATCAAGCAATAACTGCACACATAAATACCATTACAAATCAAACTGCCCTTGAAAAAATCTCCAGAAACCCAAAAAGAAAATAGAAATGACCAATAGCATGTGCATTCTTCAAGTCAATAGCATTAATAAAGCATCCTAAATTTTTTCATAAAGATACTGCTATAAATCCAATTTAAGGAATTATTATACATCAAGCAATAACTGCATACATAAATACCATTACAAATCAAACTGCCCTTGAAAAAATCTCCAGAAACCCAAAAAGAAAATAGAAATGACCAATAGCATGTGCATTCTTCAAGTCAATAGCATTAATAAAGCATCCTAAATTTTTTCATAAAGATACTGCTATAAATCCAATTTAAGGAATTATTATACATCAAGCAATAACTGCATACATAAATACCATTACAAATCAAACTGCCCTTGAAAAAATCTCCAGAAACCCAAAAAGAAAATAGAAATGACCAATAGCATGTGCATTCTTCAAGTCAATAGCATTAATAAAGCATCCTAAATTTTTTCATAAAGATACTGCTATAAATCCAATTTAAGGAATTATTATACATCAAGCAATAACTGCATACATAAATACCATTACAAATCAAACTGCCCTTGAAAAAATCTCCAGAAACCCAAAAAAANAAGAAAGAAATTAAAAAAAAAAACGATAATATAAATAAAACCGTTGATGTCCCACGCGGCCAATTTTTATTGGTTGATCTACGTGAAACTAATCGGTGCGGAGAATGTTTTTGCGACCCGGTTAAGTTACGTGTTCGGGATACGAAACGCTGCGTTTCATCATTGACCCGTTTGGCAGACGTAATAGACTAATAGTAGATTGATTTTGACAGTGAAAAGGCTGAAATGCCTTTTCACTGCAAAATTTCTTTTTACATATAAATTTTATATATATATATATATATAACAACAACAAAATGTATAGTGATTATAATCAATCATATAACCAATATAAATAAATATATTATTTTAAGATACAGTTTTTAGTGGCCTCCAATATCATAATCAATAATCTAAACATAAAAAAAAAAATGATTTTATTTATAGCTAAATTTATTATTGTTCGTTGAACTCAGGGTTTTACTCCCATCTAAATACTCCTGTTCGTTATTATTATCTGTTGAGCTTAAATATTATATTATCATTGGTTATTACCGAGCTTAGATTTTTACTATTATTCATTGAGCTCAATCGATATTTCACGATCAAGGGTGTAATATTGTTTGTAGTAGTGATTCTTATATATCGTATTCACAATTGAAATATGGCGGAAAGAAAACATCTCTATTTGATTGGGCTCCTTCCTATACCTATGAATTCCATTGGACCTAGAAATGATACATTGCAAAAATCTTTTGGGTATTCCAATATCAATATTATGATTATTTCGCTCTTGTATCTTCTAAAAGGAAAAAAGATCTCTAAAAGCTTTTTACTGGATTTGAAATAGAGTATTTAGGTTTTCCCAATAAATAAAAAGTGTATCATGCATGAATCTAACTAGGATTCGCAATGGCAAAGGAACTGGCTTGGAAAATGAGGAATTCTAATTATAAGATATCTAATAAAATCGTTGCTGGAATTGATGTTTTATTCAAAGAAAAAGATATCGAAGATACTCTCACTTGTTATCATTGAACTCAAATTTTTACTCATCTTCGGGGATACTCTCATTTGTTCATCTTCGTTTAGCTTATAATTTTAGTTGTCTCCAATTTCATAATTAATAATCTAAACATAAAAAAATAATTATATTTGTCCCTCAATTTATTTCTATTCCTACATTGCATATGTGAAAACAAATGGGCTTCAAAATCATGAAAGATAAATAGTGGGGCTTCTTTGTAATTTTATTTTTTTGTTATTAGATAACTTAGTATTATTGCGTAATTATAATAAATGATAACAAATGTCTACAATACAAAATTTGGTTGATATCATATGTGATCCAAAATTCTGATAAACTAACAATGTCACCCTTGTATTCAAAGTCCAATATTAAAGTTAAATAACCATTTCTAAGTAGGGATGGGCACGGGTCAGTCCAAGGCTGGGGACCCCTCTCTCTAGCCTTGGCCCAAAAGCCCAAGGCTATTCCCTAGCCCGTAGCCCGAACGAAGAATCTTG